CCCTCTCCTCGTAGTCCATGTATGCCCGAGCCTTTTCGAGGAGGGCATCGAATGTCCGAGGTGGCTCGATACCCACAGCCTTTCTGAATTCCGTGCCGGGGAGGAGCCCTCTCTCCAGCAAATATCTCTTCATATGGTCCGCACAGGGGACCTGTATTGCTTCCCGGTTGAAGCGGTTGATGAATTCCCTCAAGGTTTCATCCTGTCTTTGGATGATGGCCTCGAGAGACGCCTCGGTCTTCGGATGCCACCGAGAAGCTGTGAAGGAACTGATGAACTGGTTCTTCAGGTTCCGCCACGAGGTGATTGAGCCCGGGGCGAGTCCTTTGTACCAGTCCATTGCCGCCTTCCTGAGAGTCGTGGGGAATAGACGGCACTTGATAGGGCCCCCGACGTTGTGATAATGAAGCATAGCCTCGAACCCGTCTATGTGGTCGACCGGGTCCGCGACTCCATCGTACTCCTTCAGGTGAGAGGGCTTCTCCATACCCGGGGGGATGGGTGCTTCCATAATAGCCTGCGACAGGGGACCGCAGGGGTCGTCCTCGTCGCTTCTCTCCGGAGATAAAGATGGGGACCTGTAATACTGCCTGGCACGACGGTCCAGGTCGTGCTGTGTCTCTCTCGAGCGGGATGCTCGATGGTTAAATTTAACACGTCCGTCTCCGGAGTGCCTTCTTTCTTGTCTCGCCGGGTCACGAGAAGGTTCTCCGGTTTGAATGATGGGGGGCCTCTCCAGATGAGGCCGTTTCTCTTTTGGCCGGGGAGATTGGCTTCGAGAGATCTCCCTGTAATGTCTCCGCGGGGGAGATGGATGTCGAGCGTCAATCACTCGAGGAGGGGGAGTATGAGGTCTCCGATGCCTCCTCGGGGGTCTTCGCTCGTCTTCAAGCGCCCTCAGTCTCTCTCCTTGGGCGAAGATGAGATAGTTCATTTGATTAATCGCTGCGAACAACACTTGAGTTGTGGCATCCGCCCCGGCGGGGACGGGGACTTCCTGGAACCGGGCAGCTCTGTAGTGTGCGAGGGCCGCCGGGTCGTCTTCGAGTGGTGGAGGGACCGAGGAAGATGATGCAGTAGCTCCGTCCCTGTAGCTGGAAGTTCCGGGGGCGGTTGTCGCAGGAATGGTGTTGCGGCCGGGGTTGCCGGCGTTATCAAGGTGTTCGTTTTTGTCCGCGGTGCCGTTATTAGTGTCGATGACACGGACGTTCTGCTCATCGCGAGCTTGATCAACCATGACATCGGTAGTTGAATTTGAGCTTTGGTCTTTGAGTTTTGTAAGACGGGGAAGCTAGTTTCCCACAGACGGCGCCACTGATCTGACCTGATCAGACTTGGACCGTCACGGCTGGCTCTGAGCTGAAGTTTTGAACGAGGTGGAGGGGGTACCTGCAAGGCACTCCGATGCTGAAGTAAGAGTACGAGCAGGCAAAGTGAGTATATATGATAGAATGAATACCTGACCCTCTGGAAACAGAGGGTATTTATAGCCCCCAACGCTGGGCCAAAGTTCCTTCATTAGGCCGGACAGGTTTGGCCCAATGGAGGAACTTCCAGGTTCTACGTGCGTAGTGGGGACCCGCACGTGGTCCCCTTCCTGGATATCCTGCGTGAAGTGCGGGCGGACAAGGACACGGTCTTTTCGGGACCCCGTTGAGAGTGCAGTGGACCGTGTCCGCTGCTGAAGAAGTGCTCGAGCTGAGGTCGAGCTGGATAGCACGAGGACGGGGATGTCGCCCAGAGACATATGTCGGGCATAGCTATGGTCCTTAGGTCGGCGTGACCCCTAGCAAGTCCGTTTGGATTGGGCCTTTATCGTTGCTATTGGGCCAGCCCGGCCCAGTCCAGAACAAATATCAAAATTAAAATTAAAATAAACTCTATTAATACTATTTATTATAAATAACTATTTACCATTCAAAATTAATTTTTAATTAATTTATCGAATCAATTTTTATAAGACTAAAATTATCTTATCAAATTTATATTGTCCCGTGTTTTTTAATCAAAAACAAATATTTATAATTTTTTCATTTGGATAGTAAAATGACTGTTTCAATATTAATGGATTCCAATTTAAATTTAAAAAAAAAAACTTCCAATTTAAATTGTTTACCACCTTACTTATATGAATAATTTGAATGAGTATTTTTAAAAATATACTTATTTTATATTTATTGAATAATTACATGTATCATACTTAAATAATAAGTATTTATATATTTAAGTATATATGTTGGAAAGATACAAAACATTATAAATTTTATTCGGGAATTAGTTTATGTAGTTGTGTGTAGAGGATACTCCTGACTAATACTAAAAAAAAATTAAAATAAAACATATCATAAATATTAAATAAATCATTTGATTTTTTTATAAATAAGTGTAACTTTGAGTTGCATATTTTTAAGACCAAATTAAAATATGACCTAAAATATTAAAAATTAATTAAGATTAAATAATTTTACATCATATTTATTTATAGACTATAATTTCAAGAATTTAACAATATCTACTCTATTTATTGAATTACCTAATTTATTTAGATAATATATTTCTTTTGGAAGCAAAGTTGTATATATATATATATATATATATATATATATATATATATATATATATATATATATATATATATATATATATATATATATATATATATATATATATATATATATATATATATATATATATATATATATATATATATATATATATATATATATATATATATATATATATATATTGAATCTAATAAATAATGATTTAATTAAAATATTTTTATATAGGATTAATACTAATATTAAAATAAAATAAATCATAAATATTTAATTTTCAATTTTATAAATTCCAAAATTAAATAATAATAATACTAATATATTGGTTTTATTATTAAATAATAAAGATTAATAGCAATAAATATTTATTAATAACATTGATTATTTTTTACTCAAATATAAATATTAATAGCTTATCATTATTATTGTCACATTTTCAAATTTCAATAACCATATCAGTTAAAATTTGAATATAAATAATATTTCCTATTTTTAAAAATAAAAATCCATATTAGTCCAAAACAAATAAACATCCATTTAAATAGGAAAAAAGAAGCCAAATGATGCCTTTATTGAAGAAGGTTTACCCCTCTGTATTAAAATTTTAAACTATTATTATTGCTCATTGTTGTCTATATCACATAAATAAAATCATCATAATTACTCATTAATAATCTAAAAGAAATTTATAAATCATAATAATTACTAAAATATTTAAAAATGGCAATTAATTAATAAATAAATTATTAACCAATTTTAATACAAAACAATGGGTATCAAGATAAAAGTTTAATTTTTTAAAATTTTGTTTTTTTACAAATAGAGACATCATTTTGTCTTTCAACATGTTAATTTGTCTATTTTGAATAATTGGTATTTTCAATTAGTTTATGAAACCCAAAGTAGTTGAAAATCACATAAAAATTACATACCCCAGACATATTACATACAGTTTCAACAGGAGTCTCCAAAAAATAATTATAACTGAGACTTTTCCACTAAACATGCGACAAAATTTAAATAAAAACTCAACAGTAAAAACTATGGAAATATATACAGAACATGCTTCCGCATATACATAATTGATCTACAATCTACAAATTTTTCCTTTCAATTATGCTGCCAATCTAAATCTCAATCTTTTCTCTCATGTAATTGGTATGGACCTGCAATAATGAGTAATATTGAGTGTTTGTTGGTTTCTTGTCTATGACAACCTTAAAGTTGTGATTACGACTAAAAACAATGTATTTGACAAAAAAAACTCTGATAAGAATTTAAAAATATCCACTAAATCAGACACATTTGACATAAATCTCTGTTCAAAATTAAAAAAATATTGATGATCAATTTTATTCATTCAAAAATCAATGAGACAGAAAAGATCAACATCTTTTTATGTCCGGCTATTCTCAATATCTTGATGGTTCCAAATTGTACAAAATAAGTTGCAAAAGACAAATCTATAAACACAATTATCTTCTAGATAAATAACAATCTTAACCTATGAAAATCAATTGGAAATTTGAACAAAGTATGACACAAATTAGAAAAGAAATTGAAAATCTTACGGTCGATGTACCTTTTGATTCAGAATTTTTTTGGAAAGAATTTCAAATTAGGGGAAATGCAGGATACTGTTAGTTTCGTCATCTCTTTGTTTTGACCATTGCATTTCAGTTCTGGCTATTTGAACATTGACAGATCCATCGGGTACCCCTTCGATTTCCTCTTTTAATCGTGCAATGATGTCGCTGCTTCTGCTGCGAGCATAATCATTTTGTCACGAACCTTCAGTATTTTCTTTCTCTGCAACTTTCACATCTCTTACCTTTGACCCAAAAACATATTAATATTCGATTGATTTTAGTTGATTTTCTGCATTAATGGCGGAAGCGGTTAGGTTTGAGAGAGAATCTCCTTGACACAGTCAAATTTCCTATTCATTTTCTGCTTCTGTGCAAAAAAGAATGGATTAATAAAAAAAACAATATGTATATGTATTGGAAATTAAAAATTGAAAAAACAGAATTTCAATTTAAAGAAAAACAATTGATTTGTAAATACAAAACCATTTTAATTTCAATTTTGAAAAAAAAGAAGAGATTCATAGATGAACACATTCACTGAATGCAAAGATGTCAAAAATGTGTCTGATAGCGGGATATAATAGTATTTATATTATTAGCTATTAGTATTGTTATTGGGCTTCTAATAGTTGTTGGGCTTTTATTTATTAAGAATATTATATATTGTAGTCTCGTAAAGACATTTGGAATCAATCAATCAAATGAAAAAGTTATTTTATCTTCCTTTATTTTATTTAGTCAATTTAATGTTCTTCCCGGTTTAGTGTAAAAAACCCTAATTCTTAGCTTTTATAGGAAAACTTTCTATCAATCTGTGCTTTCTTCGACGAGCTCTCTCTCTAGTTAATTGAAAATGGTGATTTCGGTGTTTGATGGTGAAATCGATGCTTATTGGTGGGTGCTTTGTACCGAGAAATACTTCAAGCAATGGCTTACACCAGAGACATTCAAGATGACGGTGGTTGAACTTGCCATGAAAGGTCCGACTCTCACATTATTTCTATGCATTTACAACAATATTTCTATGGCAATTTAAGCCTGAGTGGCGGGTAATTCTTCCTTTACCTGATGATGAAGAGGACGTGGAGTTTGAACCACAACAGTTGGTTCGATGTAGCCGCATTGATAAACAATCAATAATGGTGGACAAAAGAATCAATAATTCCAACCAATTTTCTTCTTCACCTGTTGTTTCACATGAATTTGTCACTATCGATTAAAGGTTCCATTGTTCAATCTCCCATTTCTGTCGAAAACCCATTCAAAAATGACCATATACATTTCTTCATCCAGCAGAAAATCAAGATGGCAACAACGCAATCCAAACATATGAGCTCATAACAATAGGTCAAGACACTGTTCTGATGGTCATCGACAAACAAAAAGACCTTATCACTGCAGTTTGCAAGGATAAAGATCTACGGTTCGACTTCGATTTTAGTTTCTCTGTTTCTGTTCTGGGTCGTTCCTCTTACTTTACACTCGTGACGTTCCCTCTGGTGTCCTTCGTACCATCGATGAAGGAAATTGTGAACACTACCTCCACAACATCACCCCAAAACTTAGTTACTTTATTCGACCCTGGAAGATATCTTAACTTGCAAGAGTCCTAGACTGCAAACCGAGCTTTTTCCTCCGCCGCCAAAACCACCTGATAAGATTTTCTACAGCGTCTTCATTTCTTATTATACATAGGTTCTTGGTCAGATTCCTTATTTTCTTCAGTATGGTTTCCATTTTAATGTCTATGAATTTAATATTGCTTCAAGTATATACATATACCTCCATAAACTGTGTTTGGCGTCTCAAGTGGATGGTTTGACCTATTATAGAAATCAATGGAAAAGTATGGTTGACTGTGACACACAATCTTTGATTTATTTGATAAATTTCTATGCAAATTTTGGTTGGGTGTACTCTGCACAAAATGTGTTTACTGAAATGTATGAACAAAATGTTGTCTCTTGGTTGACCTTTATTCAAGGATTTTTGACTAGCAACACATATGGTTTACAATGTTGTGTTTTTCAAATTAAGTTTTGTGCAAAATCTGGTTTTCTCAATTCTGCTCCCCAAGTGTTTGCTAAACTGTGTGAACAAGGTGTGTTCTCTTTGACTGTCATAACTATAGGCTTTGTGGCTAGAGTTAATTGTTGGAGCAGGAAGCAGGTTTTTCCTGCTTGTTTATTACCTCGTGTTTTTTCTATTAGTTAGTTTGTCTACAACTCAACAAATAAATGGGATTAAGAAAGTGATACAAGAATCTCTCACGCACTTCGCACTAATTATTGTGATATAACAAGGTTAGAATATTTAGTATTTCACACTTATTTGGTTACTTGTTTTCCATTCATGGGATTAGAAGATGGTAATTGTTGGACATTACAGGAAAATTTGTTTTTAACAAGTGGGAATGGAGATTATTTCTATCTTTAGAAACATGTTGGTGATGTTAGAATAGTACTATTCATAGGTTCAGATGCAGAAATTTTGGCAATGGAAAATTCATTAGAGTTCAAAAGGAAGTTTCTTTGGGTTGAAGTGTTTCTTGTAGAATTGGAATTTATGCATGTGAATATGAGGGAGGACTGTATTGCCCTTGTATTAACAAAACTAGAAGACCATACCTCATTTCCCACATTATTAATTTGCTGCAGTGTTCATTTCAAACAGTGGGATCCAGGAGGTGTTTTCTTCTCACCATTTCAAGTTACTTTTGTTTTATTTATTCTTCCTATAAGTGTAAAAGCCATTTTGTTAACTACTATGGCAGTGTTACTAAAACTTATGGCTTCATTAATACCTACAACATGGAAGATTAAGTTCCTATCACTGATTATTCAACATAAAGAGATTGAAGAGTTGTGGCTGAAGAAAATTCTTGGAAAAACATATATGCTCTTGTAACTCTATTTTGGCTTTAACCTAGATTGTCCACATGGCACAAGGACTAAATGAAATTAGAGACATTAAGGAAATTCTATCCATTTGTGCCATAATTAAAGTAGAGTTGATCATCTCTGACATGGTTCACACATAGTTGACCATTATCATATGCATCTCTGACATGGTTCACTTATAGTTTATCATCATCATATGCATCTTTGACATGGTTCACACATAGTTGACCAACATCCTATGCATCTCTGACATAATTCACACATAGTTGACCATCATCCTTTGCATCTCTGACATACTTCACACACAAGTGACCATCATCCTATGGATCTCTGACATGGTTCTCACATAGTTTACCATCATCATATGCATCTCTGACATGGTTCATAGTTGAACATCATCCTATGCATCTCTGACATGGTTCACACATAGTTGACCATCATCTTATGCATCTCTTACATATTTCACACATAGTTGACCATCATCTTATGCATCTCTGATATACTTCACACACAATTGAAGCAGAGTTGACCATCTTCTATCCACTTGTGCCATAGTTGAAGCAGAGTTGACATCTACTATCCATCTGTGCCATATCTGAAGCAAACTTGATCATTTTCTATCCATTTGTGCCATAATTAAACCAGAGTTGACCATCTTATATCCAGTTGTTCCATAGTTGAAGCAAAGTTTACCATCTTCATATGCACCTCTTACATGGTTCACACATAGTGACCATCATCCTATGCATCTCTGGCATGGTTCACATAGTTTACCATCATCCTATGCATCTCTGATATGGTTCACTTATAGTTAACCATCATCTTATGCAGCTCTAACATGGTTCACACATAGTTGACCATCATCTTATGGATCTCTGACATAGTTCACACATAGTTAACCATCATCATATGGATCTCTGACATGGTTCACACATAGTTGACCATCTTCTATCCATCTGTGCCATAATTGTAGCATAGTTGACCATATTCTATCCATCTGTGCCATAGTTGAAGTAAAGTTGACCATCTTCTATTCATTTGTGCCATAGTTGAAGCATAGTTGGCCATCTTCCATCCATTTGTGCCATAGTTGAAGCATAGTTGACCAATCTTCTATCCATCTGTGCCATAGTTGAAGCATAGTTTACCATCTTTTGTCCATTTGTACCATAGATGAAGTAGAGTTGACCATCTTCTATCCATTTGTGCCATGATTGAAGCAGAGTTGACCATTTTTTATCCATCTATGCCATATTTGAAGTAGAGTTGACCAACTTCTATCCATTTGTGTCATAGTTGAAGCAGAGTTGACCATCTTCTATTCATTTGTGTCATAGTTGAAGTCGAGTTGATCATCTCTGACATGGTTTACACATAGTTAACCATCATTTGTTGGATGTATGACATGGTTCACACATAGTTGAACATCATCCTATGGATGTCTGACATGGCTCACACATAGTAGACCATCATCCTATGGATCTTTGACATAGTTCACACACAGTTGACCATCTTCTATGTAGTTCACACATAGTTCAAATATAGTTGACCATCTTCTATCCATCTATGTTATAATTGAAGTAGAGTTGACCATCATCTATCCATCTCTTACATGGTTCACACATAGTTGACCATCATATTTTGAATCTCTTACATGGTTCATACATGATTTACCATCATCTATGTATCTGTGCCATAGTTCACACATAGTTGACCATCTTCTATCCATCTGTGCCACGGTTGAAGCAGAGTTGAGCATATTCTATCCATCAGTGTCATATCTGAAGCAGAGTTGACCATCTTCTATCCACTTGTTCTATATTTGAAGTATAGTGGACCATATTCTATTCATCTGTGACATAGTTCAAGTAGAGTTGACCATTTTCTACACATATGTGCTATATCTGAAGTAGAGTTGACCATCTTCTATCCATTTGTACTATATCTGAAGCACATAATTGACCATCATCCTATGGATCTCTTACATGGTTCACACATAGCTGACCATCATCTTATGCATCTTTGACACACTTCACACATAGTTGACCATCATCCTATGCTTCTCTGATATACTTCACACATAGTTGACTATCATCTTATGCATCTCTGACATAGTTCACATATAGTTGACCATCATCTTATGCATATCTGACATAGTTCACACATAGTTGACTATCATCTAGTGCATCTCTGACATAGTTTACACATAGTTGACCATCATCAAATGCATCTCTGACATACTTCACACATGGTTCACACATAGTTGACCATCGATCGTCATATGCATCTCTGACATACTTCACACATAGTTGACCATCATCATATGGATGTATGACAGGATTCACACATAGTTGACCATCACCTTATGTATCTATGACATGGTTCACACATAGTTGACTATCATCATATGGACCTCTGACATAGTTCACACATAGTTGACCATCATCCTATGCATATCTGACATAGTTCACACATAGTTGACCATCATCCAATGCATCTCTAACATAGTTCACACATAGTTAACTAACATCCTATGCATCTCTGACATACTTCAAACATGGTTCACACATAGTTGACCATCTTCCTATGCATATCTCACATACTTCACACATAGTTGACCATCATCTTATGGATGTCTGACATGGTTCACACATAGTTGGCCATTTTCAATACATCTCTAACATAGTTCACACATAGTTGACCATCATCTCATGGATGTATGATATAATTCACACATAGTTGACCATCATATGTTGGATGTCTGACATGGTTCACACATAGTTGACCATCTTCAATGCATCTCTGACATAGTTCACACATAGCTGACCATCATCCTATAGGTCTCTGACATGGTTCACACATAATTGACCATCATTTTTTGGATGCCTGACATGGTTCACACATAGTTGATCATCATCTGTTTGATGTTTGACATGGTTCACGCAAATTGACCATCTTCAATGCATCTCTAACATAGTTCACACGTAGTTGACCATTATCTATTGGATGCCTAACATAGTTCACACATAGTTAACTATCATCAATTGGATGTCTGACATGGTTTATACATAGTTGACCATCATCTGTTGGATGTCTGACAAATAGAAAACCCTAAATCCAAGACAAAATCAAAGCATGAAAATAACACACTTGCACACAAGCACCCTTAGGGCTTCTCCACTTGGTTTACTTATACAAAAATGACCATGTTACGCATGCGAAGTATCTTGGCAAAAAAAAAACAAGTATAAGATCATAGTCCCTCGATGACGCTACTCAAAGTTGCCTTACAAAATGATCTTAGTCCCTCAAAAAATGCTAACATACTTTTCAATATTGCTAATTATGGTTATACGATGACCCACGCCCGTCCCGTTTACATCCAAAGATAGGGTTGCTTACCAAATCAATGATAAGACAACAATGTCAAAGGAATAGAAAATGAACAAGAAAGACATTTGAGTAGGTAGATTACTTCTAGCTACTTGCTCTATTTTCAAACAACTATCCTTGCTATTTTCCAAAACAACACACACATTTCAAAAAAAAAACATCCTACAAACATTGAAAATATCTTCAAAAAGACAAACATCTTTGTATACATTCTTACGAACGAGAATCATTACAAAGATTGCCTAAAAAATGGCCTCTTTTACAAAATACTTTTAAAAACCACACAAAGCACAATTTCAAAACAAAAGCAAGTGATCTAA